AGCAATTGTTAATGCAGTTCCCTTAGCATTGTGGTCCAGCGGGTATATCATAGAAATTTTACACGGGCGGTTCAGTGAAACTAAGCATCCTTGCAAAATGCCGTTTTCTTGAGAGTGCGCCATAGTTGAGGAATGTGGACTGAATCAGAGTTCCCTTCGTCTTTGAGCAATATTTATGTGGATTTGATAAATAAGAGCTCAAACTGAGTGGAAAATGGACGGGTTCACGCGATTTATCTCGAGACATGACTATGTTATTCTTTCAAAGAATTATACAAATGTTTGTTATTTCCTAGAACAAAATCACTGAGGTACCACACACATAATGTTTAATCAGAATCATAACCTCTATTGTATCGATTGATCAATAGCTATTAAATAAAGGTATGAGCTGCACTCTCTAATGGTATAGAGGCTTGATAACTTACTATAAAGGCTAATGAAACACGCAAAGAGTTTCCAAATCACTTTTGTTCCGTTTACCAAACATCGAGTACCGGTACAAATGTTTCATCAACACTATATAAGCCTGAGTATTGTCGATACAGTTCTTACTTGCTTGATTTTTTTGGAGTGTAAAATTCCATAACTACTGAACGAGTTTTTGCAAAATAATTATTGATTTTGTGGACGTTCAAACGTTTATGTCACCAATATAAATCTCTGTTAATATACAACAACCATTGCTTCTCTGACGTTAACAAAATGACTAGGAATATTATACATTAGAGTAACTATGATTGGTTGAGAGACAGTGTACATAGGTGTGTGAAGTTGACATGATAACCCAATATCTGCTGCAGATATTGGGTTATCATGTTGAGTATGCCCAGTTTCCAAGCCCCTCGTCCGTGAAATGTTCTCAAACTTTTGCAAACTCATAGAGAAGTGTCTTCTTTAGCAGATTGTTTCAAAAAATGTATAATAAAACAATAACCCTATTAAGTTTTCACATAATATTAAGGACGGGAAAATGTTTGGCTCTCGCTCATGATCTCGAGTCAAATATTCTCCCATCTGGCTCTTCCACTCAGTCATTAAGTAAATAAAATTGGAAGATGAGACATTATAGTCAATTGTGCGTCCTCTTTTCTCAATCCTCACCCCACCCCTCAGGATGAAGTAGGGGACTTTTCAGTTGCGCACCGGCAGTTGTATTTAAAGAGAAAAAGTTTACTAACACTGCATCTAACATTGTCTGGCGAATATTTTTAAAAACTTTAGAATAGAT